ATAAATTATTGATTTAGTTCTATCCATTAGCATAATTTAAAGATTTTCAATTGAGTATCCACACTTGAACTTTAACACATGGTTTTGTTAATGTTCCAACAATTTTTTTTTTTAAGTTGTGATAAATTTCAATTGAATATCAATGTTCTAAAAAAAATTATAATTGTCTTAATTGAATATATAAAATTTAGTTAATTTTATAAATGTTGATTTTTTTTAATTGACAAATATTAGTATGTTAATGTTCTAAAGAAATTGTAATTGTCTTAATTGAATAGACAAAATTTAGTTAATTTTATAAAAGTCTTAGTTTTTTTTAATTGACAAATATTAGTATGTTAATGATTTTTCTCTTTATAGAAATAAAACCTAAACTTTTAATATTTAAAGCTCATCCAAGTGAAATACTAATCCCCTTATAATAAAATCTTGATCAAATAATTTAAGAGTATTTATTTGATTGAAATGTAAAGAATTTTTTTCAACTTACTCAAATATTCTAGATTTTAACTAAATCCTGAAAATGCACTAATGTTAAATATTTTGAAAGAGAGTTTTACAATTTATTATGATTCTACTCTATTCAAGAGTTTAATCTCGGCAATTATGCACCGAGAATATTTGATTTTTTTTAAAAAAAAAATCTTGATTGAATAAGAAAAAACATTCATAAAAAATCTTTGAAAATACTTGAAATCCTAATTCAACACAAAATAGGTGTCTTCTTTGTGAATCCTATTCGAATCCACTCCATAAGTATATTCTATGAATCCTCTTCCTTTACCTCAAAATTGATTCATAGCAAAATGGTAATAATTGTATTGACTAACATGCAATTACACAACCCATCTTAGCTGACAAACATCATTAGTTAATTGAAAGACGAACAAATAGGACTATACTAGTCTTGTAATTGACATTAAGCCATGTGTCTAAATGTATTTAATGAGAAATAATAAAGTTTTTGACTATATTTTATATATATAAAATTTAAATAGAAATGATTAGTCATTTATATTTGATGATTCGAAATTGTTTTAAAATCAAATAATTTCAACTGTGGCTCTCTCAGTCATATTAGTGATGGATAGAATCGAGAGAGACTTATTTATTTATTTGTATTTAAACATGAAAGCTGCATTATTTTGCATCATCCATTAAACAAATATAACTAAAGTCAAAGCCTTTTTTCATTGTTCCTTTTGAGTAGAAAAAGTGAAGGACAAATATAACTAAAATAAATTATTTCTGTTATGTTTTGTTTGCTTCACTTTCATTCATCACTTTCAATTCCATTACCCTTTTATTCCTTCATTCAATTCCTGTTCCAAGATTGAATTTTTATTCACTTTGAACCTTGATCTCTCTACAATTTTTGTTCTTCTCTGAAAATGGTTGTGGAGAATCAAAGGGGTTATTTCAGGGATGAAGATGGGGTCATTGACCGTTTTCCTGTCGGTATGCGTGTTCTTGCTGTTGATGACAACCCAACTTGTCTCATGGTTTTGGATAAACTCCTTCGTCAATGCAAATATCATGGTTTGTTGTTCCTTTCTTTTTCTCTCTTTTAACTATTCTTATGTTCAATTTAACCTAATTCCTATTCCAAATTTGGTACTTTCCAACATGTGTGTAGTTTTGCTGTGTGAAAGTTGAAGGCTTTTGGTTCAAACTTTGTAAAAGTTGTGATTTTTTTTTATTTTACTTTTTTAAGATGCTAATAGAGTTTAGGTTTGTGGAATCAAATGTTTGATTTTGTGGTTGTTTTTTTTTTCCAGTTACTACATCTACAAATGCAATTGATGCACTGAGAATGTTGAGGAGAAACAGAAATAACTTTGACTTGGTTATTAGTGATGTGGATATGCCTGACATGGATGGGTTTAAGCTTCTTGAGTTGGTGGGACTTGAAATGGACTTACCTGTAATCAGTAAGTGCATGCCTACATATGTTACTTTTGTTGAACATTCGAATTGATTCGGTAATTTTCTTGGGTTTTATCTTCTTGTAGTGTTGTCGGGACATAGTGATACGAATATGGTGTTCAAAGGTATTACGCACGGTGCATGTGACTATCTCCTGAAACCTGTTCGACTTGAAGAGCTCAAGAACATATGGCAACATGTTGTTCGAAAGAAAAAAACCAATTCCAGTTATCAAAATAAGGCTTCCAACGAGGATAGGGTTGTTAATATTCCGGGGGGAAAAAGTCAAAACATATTAGAAAACAGTGGTGATCAGAATAAAAAGATCGGTAAAAGAAGGAAGGACCGAGATGAGGAGGGAGAAGAGGATGAAGAAGGTGAAGAGGAAGGGGAAGGGACTGGAGATGAGGATGACCCGTCATCACAGAAGAAACCACGCGTGGTTTGGTCTGTTGATCTGCATAGGAAATTTGTCTGTGCTGTTAACCAACTCGGCTTGGAGAGTAAGCTTTTGACAATGAAGATATAATATTCTCGATTTGTTTGACTTCAGTGTTTAACAATTTCATATATTTAGGCATGGTTACTATAATTCCTAATACAAGATTAATTCTCATGTTTGTTGTTGTAGAGGCTGTTCCGAAGAAAATACTTGATTTGATGAATGTTGAAGGGCTCACTAGGGAAAATGTGGCAAGCCATCTGCAGGTATATATTCTTGCTTTTGTAGCCACCATAATTGTTCCGTTTATTCACAAATCGAAAATTTATTTTGTTGAATTAACAATGATCAAAGTGTTAAGAGCTTTACATCCTCTTGAAGAACGTGTCACATGTAATGTTATGGATATTTCTTTTAATTAGTGTTACGTTTGAAAAAACTTGATCCATCAAACTCAATAATGGGTTGTTAACAATGTGGCTTTTTAAGACTTGAAGTTGAAACTCATGTTTTCAAGTCCCACTGAAAAAACACAAGTTTCGTCAAGCAATAATGTGTGCTTTTCAGTACCGTGATGATTACATATGAAGTTCATTTTCCTTTTGTATTGCAGAAATATAGACTCTATCTGAAAAAGGCAGCCCATCAAGCTAACATGGTTGCTGCATTCGGTGGCGGTAACGATTCATATCTTCGGATGAGTGGAATAGATGGATATGCAGATTTTTGCACCTCGCCTGGATCTAGAAGGATCTCGAGTACCACCTTGCCATCATATTCATCGAGTGGACTTTTCGGTAGGCTGAATTCTCCAGCCAGCTTTAACATGAGAGGAATTAGTCCTTCAACACTGATTCGGCCTGTTCAGAGTCAAAACACCAACAGCTCATTGAGCAAACTTGGAAACCTCCAGTCGTCATCCATGATATTTCCCGCAAATCAAAGCTCAAGCTTATTACACAGTATTCCCACTGAGCATAACCCAGTAGATTCCACTGTATTTGGAGTTACGTCCGGCTTCCAGGATAGTAGGGCTAATAACTGTTCTCTACAAGTCTCAAACCATCATATATTGTTCCGAGGAAATTCACGACCAACAGACAATGCAGGGACATATAGAAATCAACCTTCTCTTGGTTCTGCTTCTTTGGCAAACACAAACGTCGGCATTTGCGGTCCTTCTAATTTGTTGGATTATAATCGGTGTACTGAAAACTTCGAAAGTGAAGCGTTGCTTAAGTTTCCTGCCAGTTCTTTGCCGGTATGCAGGTCTTTCAATACTGACCAAATGCCTCCCACTAGCATTACTGCTTTTAACCAAATATCTCCGATCGGTAATAATCCAGTTGACTTTTCATCTGAAGAAGCAATCAATGTTACTTTGAAGGATGCCAGAGATGTTTTGACGAGATGCCAAGAAGGCGGCGGCGGCTTTACTGGGAATATTATGCAGCCTTCTGGTTATTCTCCGCGACAAAGATGGGAAGAACATAAACTGGATTACAGCGTAAACATGAGCCGTCCCTTCATAATGCAAGAATCAAATGAGACGGCATTAATGGATGGAGAAATGGGATTTTATGATGCTTACCCTATTGGATCATGCATTTGATTGCTTCTGATTCAACAAGAATCCAGAAACACCAAAATCCAGAAACTTACTCCTATCCCCAAGGAGTTTATTTCCCTGTGTAGTTTTTCTTTGGATGTACTTATTTTTATGTCGTTTATTATGCTAAGACAAAATAATTCTCTGCTAACATTTCTTATTCACAAATGTGTATGTGTGTTTAGCTATCTGACCCCTACCATCTCTTTTTCATTCTTTGCTTAAAAGCACAAGTAGTTTCTGCTTTTTCTTCCCCTCTCTTTTTAGCTATAGTATTTATTAGTTCATGAATAAAAGTTGCCTTTCTTCTCTTTGTTTCATTCAAGACCAACACATGGTTTAAAAGTTGATTTTTGAAAATTAACTTAACAAGAACAAGTTTCAACCTGTTTTCCACATTTATTATAATTTCTGAATTTATGAGATAAATTGTATGAGATTTGCTCACAATCATAGATTATCACAAACTTGTTATAAGTAAATAAAAAAATTTAATAAATGAAAATACAAAGACGATTTCAAAATGTTCCAATTTCAGAATTTTTTTTTAAAATAGCAATGTTATAATTGTTATTTACCAAATAAATTATACTTTCAAAAAAAATACCAAAATGGCAATGTTTGGAAATTGTTCAACTGACTTCGCCAATTCGTTTGGCGAATTAGGCCAACAGCAACATAAGCAATTCGCCATTTGGTTTGGCGAAAGGGTGTTAGTTGTGGGATTTCGCCCATTGAATTGGCGAATGAGGTTTATTTTAGGGTTTCTTTCGTTTTCAATTTCCTTTTAATTATGATATAACATATTTTCGTTTTCATATCTTAAAATTTAATTGTTTTTTAATTTTAATTATTATTATTATTAACCATAAAATATATTAATTTATAATCTAATGAATATTAATATAATTAAAATATATTCGTAAGCATAAAGTGATAATAAAATGAAATTATATTAATTTATAATGTAATTAAAAATACACGAACAAAAATATAAATATAATGAAAATTACAAAAAAAAACCTAATGATCGGCTCTATCCAAGTGACCACCGGTGCCACATTGGGGGAGACGCGTGTTGCGACGAGGTCTTCGACGATGTTGTTGTGGTGTGTCAGGATGTTGTGTGTTGAGTTGTGGTGGAGGGTTCTGTTGGGACGGCCCCGACGTATCAGCTAGATCTTGCATCATTTGACCCCAATAGCCGGGAGGTCCCATGTCACATGCACTTCCGTAGTCAAGGGCAATGCCCATGTTTTGGTACGATTGTCGGGGAGGGTGGGTGGAGTATGGACGATATGGTTGTCCGAAAGTGTACATGGAGTTGGGTTGGTCTAGGTGTGTTGGTTGTTGTGGTGTGTGGTAGTTAAATAGTGGGTGGTTGGAGGTGTAGTTGGAGGGGGTAGGGTCGAATGAGTTGTCCGGGATATAGGTGGCAGGGGTAGGATCAAAAGACATATCAGGGTTGTACTGGTGAGATGGTTGAGGCTGAGATTGGATTGGTGGCATGTAAGGTGGTTGTTGTTGATAGGGGGTATATGTTGGCATGGAGTGGGGGGTGTCTTCGTATGGTGGTTGTTGTTGATGGTCTTCGTATGGTGGTTGTTGTTGATGGGGGTGTCTGTTGGTATTTGTGGGTATGATGAAGAACCGCGTTCCCTTGGATCGGCCAAATAGGTTGGCTGGGGCAGGAAAGGCTGGGTTGTCGTGACAGAACTAAACCAAGTCATATATTGAAGACTTGGCCTAGCCCCGTGCACAATACTGTCGGTTAAGACGTATTGCCTTCTTCTTTTCCAAAGTACACGCAGCTCCTTTTCAAACTCCTTCCAATCACCAATCATCCATTGTGCGTCTACCCGTTTTTGATGCCACTTCCCCAAGTCTACGGGAGCATCTGGAATATCTTGATGCATCCCAAATTGGAGTTTGACCCGATCACTTTGGTGCATCTCCACCGTAGTGAACCTAATTATAGGTGTCTTTGCTGTCCACACAGCGACATCGTCGGGGTTGGGCTGGTGGTCGAGACCCTCGTACGGCATCCAGACAAACTACAATATAGTTGTAAAATTAAGTTAGACAGGATGTCTGAAGTTTATGCATATACATTAAAGAAAGTTAGGGTAAATAGGTTACATCGTTTGGCCCAAGGTGGTCGATTAGGTTGCGGTATTGAATTATAGAGTGCCTTGGACATTTCTCATAATTCATCCCGGGTACAGACCACCTAAAAAAATAAACACAAGTTAGAAATTATTAACTAAAATAGAATACGTAGCTGGCAAATAATGTTGAAAAGATACTTACTTTTTTTGCGTAGGGGAACGTAAAAGAATTTCTGTTTATTGGAGCAAGCAGTGGCATCCTCGACCAACCCCAAGCTTGCAAAAGATAGGCACAACCATAAAAAGTACAAGAATTTTTTTTGGACGTCTTACAAAGTGCGCTATATAGATGGGCGAGGACTGCTGATCCCCAGCTATATTCACACACTTTGTTGATATTACGCAATAATGGTAAATACATAGTATGAATTGTATTTCCAGTGCCGTCTGGAAATAAAAAGTGGCCAAATAAAATCATAATATAGCACCGAGTTTTTTGTATTTTCTCATACTCGGTGCTCTCATCCGTTAAAACAATATCGTTGTATTGTTCTCTCAGGTATTTTAAGTTAATACCCTGACCCCTCGGGCGACCCTTGCTTCCTGCCTGAGGTCCGTCCTCACAAAGAGGGGCGCCCAATAAATCTTCACAAAGTTGGTCAGGGACACCAACTTTGCCGTTGACGGCCTTACCATCAATGTGTAGGCCGAGCAACATATAAACGTCCTGGAGAGTCACCATACACTCACCACAAGGAAGGTGAAATGTATGTGTCTCCGGTCTCCAGCGTTCTAACAACGCTAGAATAAATTTTGTGTCAAGGGAATAAGATTTGATTTCGATCACACGCCCAAACCCACAATGTATAAGATAGTTTGTAATGAGGGGGTCGTGTGGTATGTAGTCATGCACACGGCACCGAAACCTTGATACATCCTGCAAAATAATGAAGTAAAATTACTATAGTGTTTTAGACAAAATTACTATAGTTTTTTTTGGACAAAATGGTAAGACATTGACATGAACTAAAGGACTTACAAACTCGGCGATGTTTTCAGCCGTCCCTCTATGAGAATCACCCATGGTTAGTACAGGCATTGTCGAGGGTTGGGAGTTTGAAAGTTTAAGAGTTTCAGACTTTGGGAGGTTGCGAGTTTGAGAGTAGGAGAGTAAGAGAGTAAGAGAGTAGGAGACTTTAAGTGTGAGTAGAATTTGATGGGTAAATACCCCATATTTATATTCCAAGAGTGGATATGTTTTAAGTGCATGCTTGAAACTTGTGATGAGATATGTGTTGTGTGAGTGCATGCTGAGCACTTGGCGTGACATATGTGTTGTGTGGGTGCATGCTGACCACTTGGCGTGACATATGTGTTGTGTGGGTGCATGCTGAGCACTTGGCGTGACATATGTGTGATGTGAGTGCAGATTCCTTTAGTGTAGCGTCTAATCAAACAGGCTACAAGGCATTTATTGTAATGCAGTGTCCAGTCTAATGTATGAAAGCAGATGCTCGTAGGCCTGCATGGTCAATGTAGGGATGCAGATCACATGTGAAAAAAGGAGATTCCTTCAGTGTAGCGTCTAATCATACAGTGGTTCATTCATTGCATAGTGTGATTATTTATTCAGCATTTTGTATAATATTTTTATTCATCGTAATGTGATTTATTTCATCAGTGTAGTATTATTTATTTCATCATACTATTTTATTTCATCATACTATTTTCCATATTATACTTCAGTGTAGTATTATTTATTTCATCATACTATTTTCCATATTATACTTCAGTGTAGTATTATTTATTTCATCATACTATTTTCCATAGTATACTTTGTTCATATTATGGAGCATGCGTGATAAATGAACATCACATGTAAATGCAGAACTTTGCATTGTCACTTCATATCAAGTCTGTGGTTCACGTTATTGATTATGGAGCATGCGCCATAAATGTAAGGCAGACAGAGATTCCTGACTTGCACATCACATGTAAATGCAGAACTTTGCAGTGTCAATTCATATCAACTCTGTGGTTCACGTTATTGATTAAGGAGCATGCGTGGTAATTGAAAGGCAGAACTTTATTGATACATGCAAAAACACTAAGCCCATTTTATAAAGCCTTTATCAAACACACTCAAAGACTCAAACATTCAGAAGCACTAAGGTCATTATATAAAGCCTTTATCAAACACCCTCAAAGACTCAAACATTCAGAAGCACTAAGGCCATTATATAAAGCCTTTATCAAACACACTCAAAGACTCAAACACACTCAAACACTAAAACGTTGTTACATCCCGTTATTCAGACACCATAATTTCCACAATGTCTCAAACACCACAACACATGATTGCCGCTCATATGAATGGTGAAGCTTTCGAATGTGAGGATTCGGGATACACTTTCAGAAACACGGAGGTTACAAGATTTTTAATTGACAGAAGGTCTAATTTTTTACACCTGAAGTCAAGAATCGAAAAAAAACTGCAGTGCGGTCCAGTTGGACAAATAGTATACAAAAACCCAGTATTCTTTGGCGGACTTGATTCGTGCAAATTTTTTCCTTTAAAGGTGCGAGATGATGAAGACGTGCATAGCATGTTTCGCACTCACGAGTATTCAGGGTTCTCAAAAATCATGGTATACGTTACGTTACAACAGCAACAACTGTCTCAGCAACTTGATTCGTCACAAGTTTTTTGCGATTCTGAAGATGAACACCCCGAAGTCAATGTCGTGGACGAAGAAGAAGAAGCAACTGAAGTCATTGTTGACGAGATGGTGAACAATCCTGAGGTTGAAGTTCAACCTGAGCATGTCTATTGTCCACCAAATCACATGACTGATATCACCTTAGTTGATGATGAACCCCCAACAGATGTTTTCTACATCCCCAACTACACAACACGGGGTCAACTTAAAGAGGGCGACGAGTTTCGTACGAAACAAGATTGTGTCCAGGCTATCAAACAGTTTCACATGGAATTGTCAGCCGATTACAGGGTTGATCACTCAAATCCAACGCGGTATATGATCTATTGCCGTAACGAGGAGTGCCCGTTCAAATTAACAGCATCTTTCAGGAAGAGAAGCGATTCCTGGAAGATAGGGTCAATGGGTCCGTCCCACAGCTGTATCATCTCGAATCCGATGCAAGACCATCGCAAACTAAACTCTAAGTTGATTTGTGATGAGATTCTATCAGTCGTCAGCGACAACCCATCTTTGAAGGTGAGTACCATAATTGCGCATATGGTACAAAGGTACAACTACACTCCTTCGTACCGAAAAGCCTGGATAGCCAGGAATAAAGCTGTTGAAATGGTGTTTGGAAATTGGGAGGAGTCATACAAGGAACTTCCTAAATTCCTAGTAGCCCTTAAACACTACTCTCCAGGAACTGTTGCGATATTGGAGACGTTGCCTGCTTGTACACCAGACGGGAGTTATGTTGCTGGCAATGGAATTTTCCACAGAGTCTTTTGGGCATTCGAACCATGCATCAAAGGGTTTGCATTTTGTAAACCTATAATTCAGATTGACGGAACCTGGATTTACGGGAAATATAAGGGCACACTTCTGATGGCTGTGGCACAAGACGGGAACAACAACATTTTCCCGATAGCTTTCGCCATAGTTGAAGGGGAGACTGCTGGGGGTTGGAGTTTTTTCTTAAAAAACCTACGGTCATACGTGTCTCCCCAACCTAACTTATGTTTGATCTCCGATCGACACCCATCCATCGAGAGTGCTTACAACAACCATGACAACGGTTGGCAGGATCCTCCATCGACCCACGTCTACTGCATAAGGCATATTGCCCAAAATTTCATGAGGGAGATCAAAGACAGGACGCTGCGGAAGAAGGTTGTGAATGTCACCCCAAAAATATATAAGGAAAGTTTAAAACCCTAGCTGGGCGATTTAGCAAGCAACCCAATTTATTTTAAATTTATAATTTCATAAAATAATTTAACCTTTTAAACTTAATTTTTTTAATATTATAGATGACATTATAAATTATATTATAAATTAATATTAATATTAATTATATAAATATTAATTAGATTATAAATTTATATATTTTATGGTTAATAATAATAATAACTAAAATAAAAAAAGCATGAAAACGAAAACCCTAATCAGTATAACCAATTCGCCAATTGGTGTGGCGAATGCCCACAAAATAGACAATGTCGCCAATTGGTTTGGCGAATGCCTTGAAGCCCATTTGGCCTAATTCGCCAATTGCTTTGGCGAACGCATGTTAGTCCATTTTCAAACATTGCCAATTTAATATTTTTGAAATAGTGATTTATTTGATAAATAAAAATTAATACATTGCTACTTTAAAAAAAAATTCCCCAATTTCAAGCATTTGAATTCAGTTCAACTCAGTAAGCTGTGCTCGTCTTTCTGCGGCTCTTTTTCTAATAAATATTCCCCACCTTAAAGCTGCTTTGAGCTTAAGCCACCCAACAACAGCCTTCCCTGAGCACTTGACATTATCCTCGCCGCCGTAAGGGGGCTCATACTCAAGCCTGTAACTATAACAACTCTCATTAGAGTGACCAAAATCAGCTCCTTCATTAATCGTCTTAAGTAACCTCTGCATATCATCGCTCTCCAACATCTGTGAACTCCTAAGACGAAGCTCTTCTGCGACAATGTCTTCCAACCCTTGTCCATTTCTCTGCCTAGACCATTCTCCTTGATAATAAGCACCTCCATTTTCAGGACCCGACATGTTGTAATTCATGGTTCCTGGTAATGCTATTTGTGAATCGTTCACAGATGTCCCTACCATCTGATAATCAGGACTGGATAAGTAGTTGCTCGTTATTTGCAAATGTTGATTCGGTACAGACGAGACGTACAACGACCTGCCCTTGGCAGATGCATACTGCTGGTCTTGGAAATTGTTGTGATGCATTGCATGAGTGTCAACAGATTTTGATCCCCTTTTCGAATTAGTCAAAGAATTTAAAACTTTTCCATCATATTCTATCACCTGGCCCCAATTATCATATGCTTTTTTCACCAAGGAATCCACAGACATCTGTAATTCAAATTAATAAATGGCCTAATTCAGTTATTATTATCAAAATATCATTTCGGGTACTTTTGTTGATCGCATATCAAAACTAAACATGATACGACATAGAAAATTGACCTTCTGATTTGGAGTGAGAGATTCTAAAGAGAAGAAGTGACCATCAGCAATGAGGCCTCTTAGCTCATATATGTTGTTGAACATAATGCCAGTGCTATTGGTTTCATCAGTGTAGTAAACAAAAAGCTTAGTACCCAAGACACATGTCTTGGCATGCTCCACAGTGTTCTCCCACATTCTGTTGGACATTCCACTACCAAGTATCTGTAGTAAAAATTGCAAATAAGTTTGTAAAATGGAGTATTTCGAAAACGGTGCTATAGACATTGTTCCTGCTGTTTTCTAGTGCCTCTTATGGTACTAAATCTAAGTTTAGTACTTTGAAAAAATATGATTAGAGAACAGTTATATGGATTGTTGATGACAGGCAGATAGAACTGAATTCTTACACTTCTTAATTTCTGCGGCTCGCGGACAAGAAGACGCAGGAAATCTTCTACGGTTACTATTCTTGATTGAATCAATTTTTTGTGAAGTGCACCGTCCTTTGCTATCCGATCCAATCTCCAAACTTCATCATGCAAAGCAGGTGGATAGTGTTTCTTGTACACTGCAAGTTGCAGAAAATAATATGTTCACAAAATTTGCCACAAAAAAAGCCTTAATCATAAGCAAAAACCACGAGAGTTCACAATTAGGAAACTTACATTCCCCTCTATGATCTTTAACAGCAAAGGCTTCGGTCTTACCCTCGCGCACTCGAATCCCGTCACAATACCCAGGAGCCACCTTAACTCCAAGCCTAAATTTTCTGCTTCTTATCCAGCTAGAATTGTCTGTGAAAGAAAGATCGCCTAATGTTCCTACACCTTCTTTTAGACTAACTTGCAAATCGCCAGTTAGAATTGGTCTTTTCCCGTCACGTTCCTTTACTTGATGGCTTTCAAAGTGATCCTTTGTCCAATCATCATCAACCTCCTCATTAAAATCACCTTCAAGCACAACAACATTCAACTTAGAAACCGATTCCGGTCCAACTTGAACAACGTTGCCCGTGTTCGGATCCAACAAGATAACATGAATGACTGCTCCTTGCTCTCCCTCAACCTTCCCTCCTGTGAACAAATGAGGCGGCATTCTTGTTCGGAAATGAAGCTGCAGATTCTTTTCCCCCGGCAGTGAAGACCTACACAGATTAAACGCAATCTCTTAATATCTCCTTGAAATTTTCAGAATACTAATCTGAGTAAAGAACATACCTATCACCCAGTTTATCATGATCCAATTTCGCCAAAGCGCGCTCCACTTCCTCACTGACCTATTGATCATGGAATTAGAAGGATTAACTAAAGAACTAATAATACATTGTAGATAATGAAATCATTGCTTATTTTAACTCACAATTTTTCTGAGTAGAGGTTCCAAAGATGAGCATAGTCTTTGCAAACTATCCACCTTCAAAGCTTCTACAATCACACTACATTTCAATTGTTCATTAATGTTAGTCACAAATTAATGTTACAACAATTAAGAGCAACACAATAGTAATCTAACTAACATCACATGTTATCAAAGATCTATAGCAGACACCAATCGTTAGTTGGTCCGGTGGTGATCAATCGGAGGAGTCTGAGACTCATATCACACAGTACACTAATCATCTCGTTAGTTGGTTCAGTGGTGATTGATCGGATGAGTCTCAGACTCATATCACACAGTACACTAATCATCTTATCAATAACACTAAATCATGTAAAATAATCCAAATTTAATGTTGATATAGAAAATCACTAAATGAAAATAGTAAAGTAATATTGAAATACCTGGCTAAACCAGGTAGTTTTGGCTTCTTTGAGTGAGCAAGATGATGTTGGTCCTCATTAACTACATCATAACTTCTTTTCTCCAGTTTGTTGTTCTTAGAACTTTCCATTTCTAGAACTTTATTCAATCTCTATAAAATATTTAACTTGGTCAATTCTTAGTGATCCATAAGATAGTTAATCTAGACGATGATGGTGAGTTGATAAACACAAAGAAAGTAAGCAAGATTGTTTGTTTGACATATGTGTAATCTAGGTGATGACAAAAAAAATTTGTTATGGAGATTAGTTTATTTAGTATAGATCTATAATCATACAAGTAGTTTATTTTTTTAAAAATAATAGAAAGGGTGTTTTTGTTAGAATATATAATTGATGTTCACAGCTGGATTGAATGTGATGATGAACGTTGGAAATTGAAACCGCGTTTTTTATTGTCTTTTGACTTTGTTTTAGTTTGTGTCGGTGTGAAGACAGAATCAACCCTCCATATTTACATTAATTACTTTTGTCTTGCTACACTGCATATTTATCACCAACAATACATTTTCTATATCACAACTCTAATTTTATTCAAAATATTGGGGGTTCAAGGCATGCACTGCATGAGTTAAGATCTTTTTCATTTTCTCAATTCATTTTTTTCTCACATTTATAGTGTATTAAACATAAATTGACATATTAGATGTCACATTATTACATTTATATTTCCAAAACTTGAATAATTGACAAAATGGAGAGGATTTTCACTCGCACTACATATGCAACATTCAAAATATTAGGATATAATTGATAAATCAATATCTAATATTATATTGAGTTTTGCAAATACCAATTAAATCGAGAGAATCGATGTGTAGATATGACTATGAAGAGTGATATTGAACTTCTGGAAGAATATTAATTCATTGCGAATTGCCCTAATCGTTGGTGACATCTCCTAGAGGATGATCGGTAGGGATATTTGGTTTTCAACTAATTTGGTTGTAGTTTGTTTTTATTTTTGGGGCGTATGCTTTCCCTTCTTTCAAAAAGATTGAGATAAATAATTTTTTTGTGAATGTGATAATAAAATATAAAGATATCAAAGTGAACCAATGAGTCTTTTGTATTGCGTTGGGTCGACATCATCTTTATCTGTGTGTTTCAACAGTTGTAGTCTACGATCAGCTGGAGTCGAAGTTAGGTTGCAATCTTACATCTCAAATATTTTGAGTATTTCGCCTGCATGTCTTCTTTGGTGCATCATCAAGCCTCTACTTAGTTGCAATCTTTATCTCTTGTAGAATTTGATACCAAGAAAATATGAGAGATTTCTCAAGTCTGACATTTCAAACTCCTCACTTAGATCATGTTTGAAATCTTTGATCTCCTTCTTACAACTTTCTGTTATCAACAGGTCATCGACATAGAGACATAGTATAAGCAATTCACTATTGTTTCTTCTTACATATACTTCATGCTCATTTGTGCACTTCAAAAATTCCTTCTCCCTTAGAAAGTTATCTATCTTCTTATTCCAAACTCTTGAAGCTTGCTTAAGTCCATACAGGGCTTTATGTAACATGTGTACCTTACTTTCTTCACCTTATTTCACAAACTCAACTGGTTGTGTAACATAAACTTTTTTATCTAAGGGGTCATTCAAGAATGCACATTCACATCCATCTGACACATCTGCCAATTGTTCATGTTTGTTAGACCAACAACCAACCTGATTGTTTTGATCCTAGCAACAGGTGCAAAAAAATTTTCGAATTCGATTCCTTCTTTCTAAAGAAATCATTTCGCCACAAGTCTTGCCTTGTGTCGAGTTACTTCTCATTTGGGATTCAACTTCACCTTGTATACACACTTCACATCGATTTCCTTTTTTTCTTTAGGAAATTTGACAAGTGACCAAGTGTTGTTGACTTTGATGGACTTCAGTTCCTCATTCATTGCTTTTATCCACTTAGAACCCTTCAATGCTTCAACTGCATTGACTGGTTCGACATCTACATAGAAAGCATAGTGTATCAGCTTACCTTCATCATCTACCACATCATCTGATGTGATCATACATTCCTGCAACTGGACTACCGAAGAAGTCATTCATGTTACTGCTGTAGAGTAATGTTCATTGTTTTGATTATGTTCAGTCTTACGTTCTTCCCAAGGCGTAGTGACCCATTTGTGGGGCATCTTGTTGTTTGCACTTTATCATTAAATAAAGGACGTTTTTCGCATTCAAAAATTGTGATCCCTGTTTTTCTTGTTTTTGTTTTGCATTTATATTAAACAGAAAAATGGCAATGTGTTTTGTTTGTTGCATCGCATAATAAACATAAACATCATCATGCAGATCTTTCCTATCAGATGCCATCGATTCAAGTTCAGCTATGACGTCATATGACTTCGATAATCCCATTTATCAAGCCGAAGAAGAGACTGACGAAGACTGTGAACTACCCGAAGAGTTAGCCAGACTTCTCAAGCAAGAGGAAATGGTCATTGTGCCTCATCAAGAGGATATTGAAATTATTAATCTGGGTACCGAGGACGACAGAAAAGAGGTTAAGGTGGGGGCTGCATTGGAACACGGTATCAAGAGAAGATTGGTTGAAATGCTCCCTGAATATAAGAATATCTTCGCTTGGTCTTACCAAGACATGCCTGGGCTGGATACAGATATTGTGGTACACCGGTTACCTCTCAGAGAAGAGTGTTCGCCAGTCAAGCAGAAGTTGAGACGGACAAGGCCTGACATGGCAGTCAAGATCAAAGAAGAGGTTCAGAAGCAGTTGAACACTGGTTTTCTTGCTGTCACGAATTATCCTCCGTGGGTCGCTAACATTGTTCTTGTTCCTAAGAAATATGGAAAGGTCAGGATGTGCATTGATTACAGAGACCTGAATAAAGCAAGCCTGAAAGACGATTTTCCGCTTCCCCGTATTGATGTGTTGGTTGATAACACCGCTCAATATTCTGTGTTTTCCTTCATGGATGACTTCTCTGGGTATAACCAAATCAAGATGGCCCCAGAGGACATGGAGAAAACTACTTTCATCATACCATGGGGGATTTTTTGCTATAAGGTAATGCCTTTCAGATTGGAAAACGCAGGGGCAACCTATCATAGGCCAATGATGACTCTCTTTCATGATATGATTCATCTTGAGATCGAAGTCTATGTTGATGATATGATTGCAAAGTCACGGGCGGAGGAAGGACATCTGGTCAATCTGCTGAAATTGTTTGAAAGGTTAAGGAAGTTCAAGCTGAGGCTGAATCCTAACAAGTGCACCTTCGGGGTAAGATCTAGAAAGTTACTAGGGTTCATTGTCAGTGAAAAGGGTATTGAGGTAGATCCTGTCAAAATAAGAGCTATACAAGAAATGCCTGAGCCGAGAACGAAAAAAGAGGTTTGTGGTTTCCTGGGGAGATTGAACTACATTGCAAGGTTCATATCTCATCTTACAGCCACTTGTGAACCAATGTTCAAATTGCTGAGAAAAGATCAAACGATCAGGTGGAATGAAAATTGCTAGAAAGCATTTGAAAGAATAAAAGAATATATGCAGGAACCTCCAATACTCATGCCTCAAGTTGCAGGGATACTTCTGATCATGTACCTCACGGTTCTTGAGAATTCAATGGGATGTGTGCTCAGTCAACAAGACGAGTCAGATAGAAAAGAGCATGTCATCTACTACCTGAGTAAGAAATTCACTGATTGTGAGTCGAGATACTCCATGCTAGAAAAAACATGTTGTGCACTCGCTTGGGCTGCTAAGCGTTTGAGACAGTACATGTTAAACCATACAACCGTATTGATTTCGAAGATGGATTTGATCAAGTAAGTCTTTGAAAAACAAGCACTCTCCGGAAGGATTGCCCGATGGCAAATGGTTTTAACAGAATGCGATATTCAATATGTTTCCCAAAAAGCCATCAAGGGAAGCGTTCTGTCGGAATATCTTACTGAACAGCCAATTGAGGATTATAAACTGGTGAAGTTTGATTTTCCAGATGAAGACGTCATGTTTTTTAAAGTGAAAGATTGTGATGAGCCTTTACCTGACGAGGGTCCTGAGACTGGATCTTAGTGGAAAATGGTTTTCGACTGAGCTGTTAATTCCTATGGCAATGGAATCAGTGCAATTATTACAACTCCTCACGGTTCTCACATACCGTTCACTGCCCGATTGACTTTTGTCTGTACCAATAATGAATCCGAGTACGAAGCATGCATTATGGGTTTAAAATAAGCCATTGATCTGAGGATCAAGAATTTATGTGTACGGCGATTCAGCGCTAGTCGTCAATCAAATCAAATGAGAATGGGAAACTGGTCAGGCTAACCTAGTGCCTTACAAGGATTATGCAAGGAGACTGTTGCCATTCTTTGATAGAATTGAGTTCTATCATGTGCCAAGAGCTGAGAATCAGATGGCAGATGCCTTGGCCATATTATCCTCTATGTACAAAGTGAGTTATTGGAATGAAGCTCCAACTATCACCATCATGCATCTAGATAGACCCGCTTTTGTGTTTGCAATTGAGAAAGCATCAGATGGAAAACCTTGGTATTTTCATATCAAGCATTTTCTCAAGACTCAAGAGTACCCTTCTAGTGTATCCAACAAAGATAAGAAGACTCTGAGGAGGTTAGCCGATAATTTTTTTCTGAACAAAGATGATGTGCTCTACAGGAGAAACTTTGACATCGTCTTGTTGCATTGTGTTGACGAACATGAAGCAAGCTTGTTGATGGAGGAAGTCCATAAGGGTTCTTTTAGTACTCATGCCAATGGACATGCAATGGCTAGAAAGTTGTTGAGAGCTGGGTATTATTGGATGACTATGGAATCCTTTTATTTCAAATACACCAGAAAGTGCCATAAATGCCAGATTTATGCTGATAAGGTGCATGTGCCACCAACTCCTCTGAATGTGTTAACGTCTCCTTGACCTTTTGCTATGTGGGGAATTGATATGATCGGTAAGATTGAGCCGACTGCTTCCAATGGGCATCCCTTCATTCTGGTTGCGATTGATTACTTTACAAAGTGGGTAGAAGCAGCTTCCTTTTCCAATGTCACGAAACAGGTGATCGCCCGATTCATAA